TCTTTTGTTTTCTTGACTTGCTCTAATTCCGTACCGAATATGAGCATGTCATCCACGTATAAGCAAATGATAACCCCATGACCATTCTCGTCAAACTTGCTATATACGCATTTGTCCGATTGATTAAGACGGAACCCGTTAGCCAATACTACCTCATCAAATTTTTGATGCCATTGTTTGAGTGCTTGTTTCAACCCGTACAATGATTTGACTAACTTACACACTTTGTGTGCTTGACCTGATAGGACGAAACCTTCCGGTTGCTTCATATACACCTCCTCTTCCAGATCACCGTTTAGGAAACTATTGATAAGTTCAAGGCTCGTCTAGTAGCTCAAGGCTTTAGACAAAAACAGGGTATCGACTTCTTTGATACGTATGCACCGGTAGCTAGAATAGCTACCATTAGATTGTTAATCGCTCTTGCATCGATAAACAATCTGAAAATTCACCAAATGGATGTCAAGACGGCATTCCAGCAATTCCATGAAATACAAAGGATCTTAAGTCAATTCACACAACACAAACTGCAGATGGATGAAACCATCAAAGTTTCATCCATTGTTGATAAACTTCCACCGAGTTGGAAGGATGTCAAGCGTTCCCTGAAACACAAAAAAGAGGATATGTCTCTTGAACAATTGGGAACACATCTTCGCATCGAGGAGGATCTCCGGATGCAAGATGGCAAAGGCGCTTCTCCTCCTACTACAGTGAATATTGTAGAGGATGAGAAACGTGGAGCCAAAAGACAAGGAAAGAGACCCTCCAAGGGTAATCCTAAGAAGAAGTCAAAGTCGAGTGCGACTTGTTGGTTTTGCAATAAACCGGGACACTTCAAACGGGATTGCTACTCGTGGAAGAATAAACACGAGAAGAAGAGTGCTCATGGTCAAGGAAACAAAGCCTTTGACCAATCCACTCAAGGAGGGTGACCAATCATGGTGGATCGATTCGGGAGCAACTCGACATATTTGTAAAGAACGTGAGTTCTTCAAAACTCTAGAAGTCGTAGAAGACGTAAGCGTTCTTTACATGGGAAACAACTCGACGGTCAAGGTCCAAGGAAAGGGACAAGTAGAGTTGTTGCTTACATCCGGAAAGACATTAACCCTTAGGGAAGTTTTTTTTGCTCCGGATGTAAGGAGAAATCTAGTATCGGGTTGTGTCCTTAATCGATTTGGGTACAAGATGGTCTTTGAGGCTGATAAGTTTATCCTCTCTAAAGGAGGAGTGTTTGTGGGGCAGGGTTATCTATGTAATGATATGTTTAAACTAAGTATCAATAAAGTTTGCACTTCTTCTTTGTATGTTGTTGATTCAAATGTTTCTACATTATGGCATGCTAGATTAGGACATGTTCACTATAAACGGATAAATCTTATGTCAAAGATGGACTTAATTCCACCATGTGCCATGAAAGAAGATAAGTGTATAACTTGCATGAAAACGAAAATAACTCGTAATTCGTTTGCTAGCGTAGAACGGAGTTCGGAACTTTTAGAGTTAGTTCATAGTGACTTATGTGATTTGCATGGAACTCCGTCTCTAGGTAACAAAAAATACGTAGTGACTTTTATTGAAGACTCCACACGTTATTGCTGTGTATTTTTGTTGCATGCTAAAGATGAAGCTCTAGATAGGTTTAGGGCATACAAATCCGAAGTTGAGTTACAACTCGGGGTTAAGCTCAAGAAGCTTAGGACCGATAGGGGAGGGGAATACTATGATCCAACATATTTTGAATCTGTAGGAGTGATTCATGAAACCACCGCGCCATACACACCGCAACAAAACGGTGTAGCGGAAAGGAAAAATAGGGTCTTGAAAGAAATGGTTAATTCCATGCTTTCATACTCGGGGTTAAGCGAGGGATTTTGGGGTGAAGCCATGTTAACGGCTTGTTACATTTTAAACCGAGTTCCATCGAAAAGGAACAAGGTTACCCCATATGAACTATGGTACAAGAGAAAACCAAATCTGAATTATTTTCGGATTTGGGGTTGTCGGGCAATTGTAAAAGTCCCAGAACCAAAGAGAAAGACTTTGGATGATCGAGGAGTAGAATGCATCTTCATTGGTTATGCTTTACATAGCAAAGCTTATAGGTTCTATGTCATAGAACCAAACGACTACATTACCGTTCACACGGTTATTGAGTCGAGAGATGCATTGTTCGACGAAAGTCGATTTTCTTCGGTGGATAAACCACTTATTTCTGTACCTAGTTCGAGTAGTCGAGCAATCGATCAAGATAACGGACAAGGTGAACCTCGTAGAGGTAAACGTATAAGGAAAGAGAAGTCCTTTGGTCCGGACTTTCAGATGTACTTAGTGGAAGGTACAAACGAGGCGGTAGTGGCTCAACTTACTTACGTATATAATATCGAGGAAGATCCTAGAACGTTCGATGAAGTGATGAAATCACGAGATGTCGCTTTCTGGAAAGAAGCGATAAATGATGAGATGGATTCCATCATGAGTAACAACACATGGGTCTTAGTAGATCCTCCTCCGGGTTGTAAACCTATTGGTTGCAAATGGATCTTCACACTAGATTTCTCCTTACATCCGGAGCAAAAAGAACTTCCCTAAGGGTTAATGTCTTTCCGGATGTAAGCAACAACTCTACTTGTCCCTTTCCTTGGACCTTGACCGTCGAGTTGTTTCCCATGTAAAGAACGCTTCCGTCTTCTACGACTTCTAGAGTCTTGAAGTCATCTTGCATCTGGAGATCCTCCTCGATGCGAAGATGTGTTCCCAATTGTTCAAGAGACATATCCTCTTTTTTGTGTTTCAGGGAACGCTTGACATCCTTCCAACTCGGTGGAAGTTTATCAACAATGGATGAAACTTTGATGGTTTCATCCATCTGCAGTTTGTGTTGTGTGAATTGACTTAAGATCCTTTGTATTTCATGGAATTGCTCCATGACCGGTCTTGAGTCCACCATCTTGTAAGAGTTAAAACTACTTACAAGAAATCTCTTGCTAGAGGCATCGTCAGAGACGTACTTAGCCTCCAGCGAATCCCACAAGGCTTTGGCCGTATCCATGTATTGATAAACATCAAAAAGTTCATCGTACATACCGTTAAGGATGTGGCCGCAACACACGTAGTTATCGTTGTCCCATTTATTCCGTGCGCGAGCCGCTGCCAATGTCTCCTCTTCGGTTTCTTCCGGCCTAGGAGTACTTATCACGTAGACGACGTTCAACGTCGTCAGGAGGAAATGCATCTTCTTCTGCCACCTTCGGAATCCCACGCCCTCGAACTTATCGAGTTTATGAAAGTCTATGGTAAGATCTCTCACAGAAGTAGTCATCCTCGAGTGGATAACGTTTTTAGATTGTTAGAAATCTGGGATATAAAAAGAAGAACAATAACAGAAAAGTAAATAGGAACCGGATAACTCTTCAAGGCGTGATACACTTTCCTAAAAACGTTATTCCGTCCTATACGAGCAAAGGACTTTCCGGAATACGTCTTTGAGATACAATGAAGAGAGAAGTGATATTAGTTTGCTCTACTAAGAACACAAACACAAGAAATTGAAAGAAGAAGATGAACAAAAGGCTTTTGTGGGTGTTTTGCAAGAACAACCACAAAAGTGCTCTCAAATCTCTCAAAAAACGAATTAAGATCTGTATTCAATTGTGTTAGGATGTCCAGGGGTGTTAATAAACACTCCAAATGTCGAAAGGTGTGAAGAAATCGGAAGTTTTTCCCGAACGGTCGCGATTTTTCGCTCAATCCGAACTGCTAAGAAAAAACGGGCTGCCCGCCCGTTTTGTCGAGCTACCCGCCCGTTTATTTCCGAATTGCTCAGAAAAAACAGGCTGCCCTCCCGGTTTTTCCGAGCTACCGCCCATTTATTTATGAGCTTTATTCCTCAGAAAAAACAGGCTGCCAGCTCATATTTTCGAGCTGCCCTCCCATTTTTTCTGAGATTACCTTTCACGTTCAAAACCGAACGTAAACTCTTTCGACGTATCCTTAACACTTAGCCAATTCATACCACGTCTTTTACAAGCATTTAACTCCTCCACCATACTTGTAATACACGTTAAACATGAATCCTTTTGAGAGATTCTAAATTCCCATTCATTTACTCTAAAACTCCCAACAACATTTTTTCAGAATTGGTGACCTGCCTAGAAGACTTAATTCTACAGCTATCATACTTGTTTCAAAGACCTCAAGTGCGGACATATTTGGTGATTTTCGACCCATTGTTTGCTCTAATACTCAATACAAAGTCATCTCTAAGTTACTGATAACGAAAATCAAACCATTCCTCAAGGATTTTATACTACCTAACCAGTATGCTTTTGTGGAAGGTCGATTGATTGCAGAAAACAGTCTATTAGCGGGTGAAATTATGCAAAAATATAACTCTCCCACAAGGCCTCGAGTTATGACTATCAAAATTGATATCTCTAAGGTTTTTTTACAACATATGTTGGGATTTTATCATGGAAACACTTAGTACTATTGGACTGTCGCAAACTAAATCTCATCCAGTAATGCATTACCACAGTGTCTTATTACATCAGCTTTAACGAAGGTCTCTCAGGGTTTTTAAATGGGACAAGAGGACTCAGGCAAGGTAACTGATAACACGATTTTTCTCTCAATTATTCGATTGATTGTCTAACACTTTTGCATCGGTTTTGTGTATAAATAGACAATTAAGATCATTTTAGATCTAGGACTTGGATCTTGTGTGTCTTTGGTGATTGAACAGGTGTTGAACATAATTTAGCACCAAAAGAGCGAAAACATGGAGTTTGGAGCAGACAGGATCAAAACGAGACAAAAAAGAAGCATTTTGCTTAAAGAACAACTGAACATGATCTTTCGTGTCCAATCCATGCTCGAAGTGAATAATTTTTAATTGAAAATTAACACGGATTGTGTCGATTCCGACGCGGGCCGTGTTGCGTTGCGGAAAAACTTTCTATTTTGCATTTGGACTTCCATTTTTTGCGAGAGAAGAGATCTAGCCGCCGGATCTTGAAGAGAGGACGCCTTGGGTTTCGGAAAATCATTGAGACATCACCAAAGAAGCCAGATAACTCAAGAGAGAATCAATATGTAGTTTCCCATGAGCAGAGATTGAAGAACCATTGTCGAGAAATTGTTTGCGGGTTTCTTCTCTATCTGCTTACATGTTTCTCTTTATTGATTTGAACTCATTTGTTGTTATGAATTGTGAGTAGTCGTTTCACTATGGCTACGAATCTAGCCTTGTAAGGATTTGTTTGGTTTTTTAGTTGAATTTATTGCTTTTGATCTTCTTGATTAGTTGATGATTGATCTTAGAATTTGATTTGCAATGAGAGTTCAAAAATTAGATTCGGAACGGACTCATCAAATGGATTGAATAAAACTATTGAGAAATATGTTAATTGATTTAGGAACTGTGATAGTATTCGATAATGCATTCAATTGTCTAATCTATTTTGTTTGAGAGATCGATTGGTTGGATTATTGGATAGTGGATTTAGGTATCGAGAGAGTCAAATCTAATTTTAGATATTAGGATTCCCGATAAAAGTTCGATATTCATAATTCTCCATCGTTTGAAAAAATCCTTGCGCATTAAGGCGATTCTGAAGCTCCGTTTTTTATCCATATGATTTTATCGTATATTGTTGATTTATTATCTTTGCTTTTGTTATGCATACTCTTCATCTGATATTTATTCGATCTAATTTTTAGTTGAGCCATGTTCTTAGTGTTAACTATTCCCTTTATTCGATTATGGTATTAGAATTGATCCATATCCTTGCGGTATTCATTGTGTATAGGTTTTTATTATTTGAGTTTATTTCTATGCGTAGATTAACACAATCAGTACCACCTCTCTCCTTACCTCTTCGTCATAGGCCTGAATGTTCTTTCCATAATGCTGAATGTAGGGGAAGAAGAGGACATAATTTGTTACCCATAGTGGTTGTAGAGAACTCCAAGTAACCCTGGTTTCGCTGACGAGCTCTTGATTTTCTATGATGGCACTTCTGAGTAAATATATATGAGCTATTATAGAAATCCTAGAAGCCTTCAATACTCTCTCGAGACTATCTAGCAACTGTTCCAAATGTTGCATGTACACTTCTGGTATTAGTGGATAGGAAGCTGAACTATTAGCAACCGAACACGACGTCCCATTAAGAGTGTTATCTGTCAAGTATTTGGGGTTACTCATGATGGCTACTCCCAAACCCACAAAATGAGGCTCATCTCAATCTGTTCATTCATCTTCTAAAAGTTACCTTAATAGCTGAGGAACCTGATGTCTACTCCTGGGTTATGAACCGCAACACATATGATCATTTTCCATCCAAGGTCGTTTATGAAGCTATTTGTCAACCAACTTCCCAAGTTCCGTGGCATTCATTGTTATGGTTCAAATGTCATATCTCTAAGTATGCTTTTGCTACCTGGGTATTGATATTGAATAGGAATCCGACAAAAGACAAATTGCTATCCTCGGGTCTACAAATCCACCCACATTGTGTCTTTTGTAACAATGATGTGGAAACTCGATATCATCCTTTTTTACTACTATTGCTCTCATATGCTATGGAAAAAGGTATGCTTTCAATTAAAATTTGGAGATGTTCCTCATGAATGGGATGATGTTATTGCATGGCTGAAAAGGGATTGACGAAATAGCCTCCCTATGACTATCAGGTTGATCGCTTGACAATTAGTGATATACATCACATTTGGCGTGAACGTAACATTAGAATCCATCAGACTATCTTTACGAATTTGGAAGCTAACTTCAAGGAGTTTGACAAAATTATCTGGCACACGGTTGCATCGTTTCTGTTATCTAAACCGGAATTAGCATCGCAAATCTTACTTAGATGGTTTGGTTGATCCTAGAGGTGGAAAATAAGCTTGGCTCTGTAAATATTCTTTTCGTTTTGTAGGTTGTCTGAGTCGGCTTAGGCCTCAAGACCTCTTTTGGTTGTGGTGACTTTTCAACTAGTTTTTTGTAATGGTTGAAAAGTTGAATGTAAAGAAATTTTGATGGAATGAATTACTAAACTTTACCAAAAAAAATTAATGTAACCTCTTGAATCCTGTAATCAATCTTCCAAGAAATCCTTACCAATATACTGACATGTTTAGTAGACCCCTTCTCAACTAACTCCTATATGATCGCAACAACTGAGCCGATTCATTCTTGATCAAAACCAGACTCTGATACCAATTAAACTATCATAAGCCTTCTCGGTGAATCTGGTTTTGCGATCATCGAGAAATCTCATCGAAAATCAATAACCAAGAAAAGATTGTGCACATACGATTTAACGAGTTCGGAGCGAACCTTGTATTCGTCGAAGGGATTTTTTTTATTCACGCAATGTTACACACTATCGAACGTAAAGATCACACAGAAGAATCAGAATTTTTCAAAAGAATAAAGAGTACTTGGACCTGCGGAAGAAAACGAGTTTTAAACCATGTTTGCCGCCTTTTGTGTCGGAATGATCAAGCTACCCTCGACCTCGAATTTCTGGCCAGCCTTGATACGACATCGTTGCATTAAATCCAAACCTTATGTTTCCTTCAGAAGTTTGTCTTGCACCTGAATGTTCTTCAAGGTTGATAAATCCCTCCATCTGATCCCTTATTCTTGTCGTGCGCGTATGTTACACATACATTTCAATATCATATTAGGATATGTAATATTGGTTAAGGTTGATATATTGAGATAATAGAACTATATCTAATGTTATAAACTGTACCATTTATTATTATATTGAGATAATAGATTGACATCCCTCTCTCTCAATCTCTCCTTCCATTCATTTCTATTTCTCATACATTAATTTTTCTAGAATAATTATAGTCTTAATAGTAAGAATTTAATTTTAAAAAACAAGCATTCAAAATATTAAAAATAAGGAACATATGTCATTCTCACATAAAAGGGATTATATTTTTATAAAGAAATATCAATGATCTTTTCAAGGGAGATGAATGATTAGAAAGCTCCCTAAAACAGGAGAAAAAATATTTCAAAGAAGATGGAACCGAATGCCTTCGCCTTTGCTCGTAGTTTCTAATGAGTTCCCTTAGATATAGGGGATACAAAGAAAATGAGAAATAAAATCGGGTGATAGATAACTATTCAAGGCGCGCATACACTTTATGAAACATTAATCAGCCCTATATGAGCAAAGGATTTCCTAAAATACGTTTCTGAGATACAATGAAGAGAGAAAAAATCTTAGTTTGCTTTATTAAGAATACAAACACAAGAAATTATAACTAGAAGATGAATAAATAGTTTTTATGAGTATTTTGCAAGAACAATTATAAAAATGCTAACAAATCTCTCAACAAATGGCTTAGATATATTCTATTTCATGATAATATGTTTATGAATATTTATTAACACTCCAAAGTCGAAATATGTGAAGAAAACAAAAGTTTTCTCCGAATAGTCGCAATCTTTTGCTTATTTTCGAAATGCTTAGAAAAAGTGGGCTACAGCCCGTTTTTTCGAACTACAGTCCGATTATGAAATTCGAGCATTATTGGGTAGGAAAAAATGGGTTATCCATCCGTTTATTCGAGCTACAACCCGATTGTGAAATCCGAACTTTAATGTTCAGAAAAAGCAGGCTACCCGATCGTTTATTCGAGCTATATCCCAATTTTTTTGAGATCACCTTTCACTTCTAAACCAAACATAACTTTTTTCGAGGAATTCTTAAAATTAACCAATTCACGATGCGTCTTTTACAAACATTTTACTCCTCCACCATATTCGTAATACATGTGAAAACATGAATCCTTTGAAATACTCTAAATTCTCATTCATTTACTCTACAAATTATAATACCTACAAACAATATAATGTCATACATCAAAGATAATACGAATTTAGACAATCGGTTAAATATCAGCTCTGCAGATCAAATTTTATTCATCATACACAATATATTGAATAAACATGGGATTTCGATTATACCTCCTTCCATCTCTAAACTTTCTCTATCATGTGCTTCTTACTTTCGCGCTCTGCATATTGAAAATGAAATTGCAGCAGAAACACACACACATATATACTACAGTTGTAATAGGGTTTTCTAATAACACGTTCAATAGGTGCGATGGAATAGGGTTTCAAAATTTATGGATCTCAAATAATTTTAAAAAATATTAATAATATATATTATTAAAAGTAATTATTAATAAACCATTAACCATTTTTTTATTATTATTAAATAAATTATTAATAATTATGAGTCGTTATTTCAAAAAAAACATTTATTAAAATTAATCATTACAGATTTTAAAATAAAAAATATTAATTAATTATATTTTAATATTATTATTTTTAATATCTAAATTAATATTTTCTATTAATCTAAAATTTATAATATGTGCAGGATCCCAAATTTTATGAGACGGCCTGGTTTCAAACAAATGTAAAGACTTTTAAACTACGTTTATAAAAAAACCAAAGTTAATTGAATCGAATTTTTTTATACGTAAACATCGGCTCCTAGATTAAAATCTCGTGTGTATTCATATATCTCCTGTGAAAAACACAAATATTATGGGCCATGAATAAGTAGGCCCACGACTGGCCCATTATAAGCACATGGGTCCCCATTTGTTCCTCTTGTCAAAGTCAAAACCGCGTTCGTTACCGACATTTCTCTTTCCATTCGGCCTTTTGTTTTTTCTGCTAGCGAACATCGGTATTTCCCTAGTCGCGGAACACCGAATCATTCCCCACGTCTCGTTCGTCAAAACCCACGGGTGCGTACGATGCACCCAAGTGCATCTAATAATCTCTCCGTCACGGTGGTCTGCGAGGCATAGGATTAGTGTCCACCATGAACGGTGGGGTAAGTCTAGGACACTGCTACACATGGGAAAAGGCATCTTTATCTATTTTTTAATTTTTTAATCCGAGGGAGGGAGACACTCTGTGGACTAGTGGTCCCCACCACAGTTTTCATTTTTTTTGGTACTCATTAAATAAATTTGTGTTTTTTTTTTAACCAACTTTGTTTCCTTCTCTGTACTGTATGGAGATGAATGAATGCTTTTAATCTAACCATTTCTATCTACTACCATACCATAACCGTCTGCAATATCCGATCCATCACTCCTCAGGCATCGTCACCCTCACCATCTCCATCACATCATCATCGGCTGGATTTTCTCCGGTGGCCGTCCTATCGTTATTCCCAGCGTCGTCAGCTGTCTCTGGAGGTGCTTCTTGTTCTGTGTGGTTGGACGAAGCTACAGGTCAGTTCTCTGTCCTTTTCGGCGTGGAGGAGCCCTCGGGTCGGATTTTTTGAGGGTTGTTTCATGGTTCTCCCATGGCGAAAGAGCTTTAGTTGATTCGTGCTTTTGATATGGACAAGCGCGTTGCGTTTAATTAGAGCCATGGATCTGCCACTGTGGTTTCTGGGGTTTGGGGAAAAAAGCAAGGCTGACTAAGGCGAGTCTGAATTTGGGTTTTCATGGGTTTGTGCTCTAATCTACAAGATGAATTGGATTTGATTTGATTTGATTTCTTCTGTACCGTGAATTTGGATATTTTGAGAGTACAATCACTTGATTTGGCTCTCTCGTGAGCTTTGGTGGACATTTCTGCAATGGAAGATAGGGTTGAAGGTGAAGCTCACCGTTTCTATGGTGTTAGCGCCATGGATCTTCGGGCTGTAGGTAAAAGGATTGCTGAGTGGGATTCGAATGATTGGAAATGGGACGGTGACCTGTTCGTGGCTAGACAGTTAAATCCTGGCTCTAGTGAAACCATGGGGCGCCAATTTTTCCCTCTCTGCTCCGCTATTCCAACCACTGGAAACTCATCGAACAGCTCTTCCACATGGTCAGATGAAGGGAACATAGAAATGATGGAGAGAGGGACAAGGGGATTGGACAAGAAGAGGAGGGCTGTCGTGATTGAGGATAATAACTTGAGGGATGATGCTGGTAGCCTCACTCTGAAGTTGTGCGGACATGGTTATCCTGCTGGTGATAGAGAGACTTTGGACATAAATGGTGCGAAGGCGACAAAAGCTGGTGGAAGTGTTCCCAGTCGGGCAGTTTGTCAGGTGGAAAACTGTGGAGCTGATTTGAGCAGGGTGAAGGATTATCATAGACGGCATAAGGTGTGTGAGATGCACTCCAAGGCTAGTAGTGCACTTGTTGGAGGAATTATGCAGCGGTTCTGTCAGCAGTGTAGTAGGTAAATCTTCCTTCAGAGCTTTTTAGATCAGATACAGTAACGTGAAAATTTTCAACTTTGGTATTCTCAATCTGCTCCTTGTGATACCCAATGAATGACTAAGTCCAAGGATCATTTGCCGTGTGCTTATATCGATAGATTCTTTCTGCAGTTTGTTTCTGTAGCTGCATCATAGACCACATGGTTAAGCTATAAAAGATGCTGTGCAGGTTTCATGTCCTTCAAGAGTTTGATGAAGGAAAGAGAAGTTGCCGAAGACGTCTGGCTGGGCATAATAAACGTCGGAGGAAGACAAATCCTGATACTGGTGGCAATGGGAATCCTCTGGGTGATGATCAAACAAGCAGTTATTTGTTGATTAATCTCTTGAAAGTACTCTCCAATATGCATTGTATGTTGCTTTAGTCTTATCTTTTACTTTCACTAAAAATTATATTTGACATGATCTTTTTCTGATTTTGGTCTTAATCCACTAGTAATTAGTTGTTAATTCTGTTTTCTGTTGCAGCCAATGGATCGGACCATGCGGGTGATCAAGATCTTTTATCCCATCTTCTGAAAAGCCTTGTGAGCCATGCTGGTGAACAAATCGGAAAGAACAGTGCTGGACTTCTGCAGGGAAGAGTCCAATCATCTCTAAATGTTGGCAACTCTCATTTGCTTTCAAATGGGCAATCCCCTCAGGAGGATCTAAAGCCTCTTTCAGTAAATGAATCTGAAATGCCTCGACAAGAAGTATATGTAGATGTTACTCGAGGTGCAGAAGGCGTGAATTGTTCTCCAAAACGGGTCAGAGTGAATGATTTTGATTTAAATGACATTTATATAGACTCGGATGATGGTACAGTGGATGTAGAGAGATCACCACCTATGAATCCAACAACTAGTTCTCTCGATTATCCTTCGTGGATACGCCAAGAATCACATCAGTCTAGTCCACCTCAGACAAGTAGGAATTCTGATTCAGCATCTGACCATTCACCTTCTAGTTCCAGCATAGATGCTCAGGTATTCTCATGCCCTCCCATCGTTGCACTGCACATGTTTATGAATTTGTTTTTGCTGGGTTTCCGCTGGTAACCCTAATTTTATTTTTCTGCTCTATCTTCAGGGCCGCACAGATCGTATCGTATTCAAACTATTTGGGAAAGAGCCGAATGATTTTCCTGTTGTTTTGCGAGGACAGGTATGCAATCTTGAAACTTCAGTTTCTGCAGCTGCTGTAATACTTTAAGTGATTTGAAAAGTGATATTTGTGTTTGAAATTTTGAACCTCCAGATTCTTGACTGGTTATCACATAGTCCAACTGACATGGAGAGCTACATTAGGCCTGGTTGTATCGTTTTGACCATTTACCTTCGTCAAGCTGAAGGTGCTTGGGAAGAAGTGAGATTTCTTTTGACATTCTCTCTGCTTGGCCATCTCAACTATCTTGTTAGAAGTTTCAGACTCATGAAGTGTTGCATTTTCTTTTTCTTTCAGCTTTGCAGTGATCTGGGTTTCAGTTTGAGGAGGCTTCTAGATCTTTCAGATGACCCTTTCTGGACAGATGGATGGATTTATGTCAGGGTGCAGAACCAAATAGCATTCGCTCTTAATGGTGAGTTTTGGGAATGCTTCTCTTCCGCTTCCATCTTTCCATGGTGTTACTTGTGTCATCTCACATTTGATGTGTCTCTTGTTTGGATTGCTGAACCCTTCTTTTCTTTTGGGCTGCAGGTCAGGTTGTTGTGGACACATCCTTGCCTCTAAGAAGTCGCAATT